TAAAAAAGTAAATCAGAGCTAAAAAAGTGTAAAAACGTAGGCAAATTTGCCTGTATTCTACTACAATCTAAGGGATAAGAACCAAAAAATTAACTTTGTATAACCTAATTAAAATAATTATTTCAAATAATTAAATAACAAGAATCAACTATTTTTTTGACTAAAAAAAAATAAATTTAAATATCTTTTTTAATATACTATAAATTTTTAGTAATTATATAAGAAATAATATTAAAAAAGATATTTATTAAAGAAAATAATATTTAAAAAACAATCACAACTCTTCTTAATAATTACTTGTACCAACTAGTACCGAAAGCAAGTTGAAGACTTAAAGCTAAAAGTTAATAACAACTTGAAATTTTCTCAATATGAACTGTTGTTAACAAAGTCTCTAAACATAATATACCAAGAAGTGGATATTTTGAACAGTTTGCAAAGAAATCAAGCTTTGTTCCTTTTCTTTTTAAAGTAAACTCTCTTTTGTATTTGATATTCAAACCGGAAAATCTCTAGAAACAGCAAGTAAAAAAAATTCAGGAAGTTTAAAGATAGAAGAACATGACAAACTCTTGACAAAACTTTCTTTAGTTAGAAAACTTACAAAATCATAACTTCTCTTATTGCTTTAACACTTTTAAAACTAATTTTTAACAAAAAGTAAAGGATTTGGCTACTCTAATCAAAAAATCAACATTGTTTATTATTTTTATATTTGGTGACTCTGTGATATGAACACAACAAACATGTAGCTACATAAGAAGTAATTTATTTCTTATTTGAGAACATAACTCTGTATGTTAAGAACTCAAATAGTTTTTAAAAATTCACACACCTATTAGACAAGATAATACAGTGAGAATATATAGAGTCAATATATTTGTTATACTTTAAAATGAAATATAAATCTAAAATTAAGGTGATAAAAAGAATTTAAGATATGCATTCTAATAATAAAAGTCATATACATATAATTTTTAAGCCTTGGCACAGATCAAAATATATTTAGTTTAATTTTTTTATATATCAGCTAAGTTTTATATAATTATAGATAAGTATTCTGATTAGCAAATATTAATTTGATATATAAATTTTTTAGTTTTATATCTGTACTTTAGATTTCATTTATTAGTTTAGTCATTTTTTACTTGTTTTATTTTAAAAATATTTCTTTTCTTATATTTCTTCTTATTCTATTTACTTCTTAAATTTTTTGTTAGAAAATATTTTTTCAAATTAGTGATTTTAACAAGGTTAGTAAACACCTACTGTAGACTCTTGGAATATAAATTTTTAGTAAGTTGAAAATTCTGAATGAGATAAATATAAGCTACTTTGACTAGTTGCATCTGAGTTTTTTTTGTTAAACCTATTTTTTAGATTTTTATTTAAATAATCAAGTAATTCTTTATTAGTATAAGCATTATATAATTTACTAGATAGATTAGCCTCTACAGAGATATTATTATTGCTAATTTAAATAATAAAAAAAGAATTGCTAAAATAAAAAAAGATAATACTTAAAAAATAATATAAATTTGATAAAAATATAACAAAAAAATATTATTTAATCCTAGCTAAAATAATAACTATAAGACAAAATATAAATAAAAATAGAAAATTGATATTTCTACACTCTAATTTGATATTGCCACACCCCAAAGATCATGTGATAAGCAATAGTGCATATCGATTAGATAATCAATTGATTGTCAGAATCCTGTGACTAACGATAATAGATAATTAATTGATTACCATGTTCTATACTTAATCAATAAAATACTATATCGATATATAATAGTATACTTTCACTTTGAGGCTTTTCAATTTTTAAGGATACTTTGTTTTGTTCAGTTATTAGTATATTGTCCAAATATTTAAAATTTTGTTAAAATAGCATAAAGCTATAATTGATATTTCTGAAAACTACAAGACTAGATATTTTTTAAAGTGTAAAAATACAAATACTACTTTTTGAAATATATTATATAAATACGTAGTATTTAAATATAACTATTTTTAGCCTCAATATAACTTATAGGGGATCTATAAATTAGCATTTTATAGTATTTTCAAATTTATTATATACAAAAACTTAATTATACATCACATATTAACACATACGTTCTATTTTAAAAAAAAAAAGAAGCACAAGCGAGAATTACTACATACTAAGATAAGTATTAAGCATATAATGAATGATATTTATATGTATATCTTTTGAGATTAACTACGTACGTATCATTCTATAAGCAATGTGTAATATATAGTACTTTAAATTAAATTTCTGTTATATCTAGAAATTCATTTATATAGTGACATGTTCTACTATTGTGACTGATTTTCTTATATACACCATATTTTTTGCCATTTAGTCTAGTTTCTTCTAACTTAAAAGCCAATAGGTCCCTTTTAGTAGAGGCCTGAACCTTGGTACTCCTGTTTTGTAAACCAATTGGTCATCCTTGAGTCTGTTGTACAATTGGATCTGACAAAATATAGGTAGTTCTTTGATTATTTCTATAAGCTTATTCTGAGCTACCGCTTGTTGAAGAATTGGCTAAGAGTTATACTCTTGAGTGAATTCTTGAAATAGTGGTATTAACAAATTCTTCGTTGCTCTTGATTAGTTTTGTAAGAGTAATTTAAGACCTTCAATTCACCAATGATGATAAATATCATCAATGTTTAGTATCTGATTTGTAGCAAGACATTCTTGAATAACATGTACACATGGGAGGCCCATATATATATTAAAAATATTATTACAGGATTCAAGAGAATTATTTGTTGCTGCATAAGAGACTTTAAAATATTGCTTATGAATTCATTTTAAAGCAAACAAAGAAACCTTAGAAATCAATCAGCTATAGAAAAAAATATTTTGTGTATACAGGATATGAGTTTTATCCTTGGAGATCATTGCTTTAATTTCATTGTATTGGGTTTCTAGTAATAATAAAAATTTTTCATACACAGTATGTAAATTACCAGTTGAGACTTGTAAATCTTTCTTTAATATTATGTGGACATCTTCTACCCAGAACATCGCTGTATTACCCAAATGAAGATAACGATCAATCCAAGCACTAACAAATTGAGTTTTGAAAAGTAATCATGTATCATTAAGATATTTAATTGATAGATTTTCATTATATCGAGTATACAACTTTGTTTATTGAGCTTCAAAATCACTCTTTGTTCTTAACTTTACTAAACTCATCTAACAATTAAAAAAGGTAACTCACTCTTCCTCTGTAGAAAAATGTCGTTTGCATCTTGCTAGAACATTTTTTTGCTATATGCTATCTGCAAAGAATATTTTTTGAACCTGGAAATATATTCTTAACCGCATCTATAAGTGCCAACTCCCGATCTGTTATAATAACTTTTGGTTTTTCTATTCCATTGAATAAAGTAAATATATGATTTAATGTCCATTTATAATTTTCTTTTTTTTTCATCTTTAAGGAATATGAAGTATATAAAAAATGTTGTGTTGAAGCTTGTTGTAGCAACAACATCAAGAGGGTGCATTTTGAATTTATTGGTTTTGTAGATACAATCTATAAATAATACAGAAGAGTACATATAAACCAACTTAATAGATCTGTAATAAGAGAAAAATAGATGTGTTATATGACCTTCAGTATCAAGCTAGTAATCGTACTCATATTGACCCTCTCTAAGTTCTTCTATAAATACCTAGATGGGTATGCGATCTCTTAGATTTTCTACCTGAATTCTTTTGTGAATATTGTAGATATCTTGTGATGTTGTTAAAATTAATAGATTAATTTAGTGAAATAAGAATAAATTTTATGTAGACGAATACCAGCATTTGATATTTCTTTTACCTACTCTCTTTCTTGTTCATTTGGTCTTCGAAGAGATAGATGAGCTGATACGTTTTTAGAAGGATTATAGTTATGAGTTGAATCAGTAACAGATAGAGTCCATACATCATTATTTCCCTTAACACCACAGACTGAGAAAAGACAATTAATCAATCTAGAACCTGTATTTTTCTGATGTATTTTATCTATTAAATTCATATGATTTCTATATGTTCTACTTCGATCACAACCCAAATATACTTTTTTCTTCTTTGATTTTACAATAGCTACACTATAACTGTTAGAAGCGCCAAACATTTATACGTGACTTATTAATGACTCTCAGTCTGGAAATTCACCAACAGGAGATGCAGGTATAGATATCGTGTTATATCATTTTTTAAAAACTCTTAATGAAAAAAACTACTCTATTATATTCTCAAGGTTCTTTTATTTAATAATAGGTATATATCTTGATGCATATATATGTACGTTCACTGTGTAGTATTTATTGGGTATGTATGTTTCAGTTCAAATAGACGTTTTGTCAAACTTTTTTAAGCGCCAACTAACTACATAAAAACTCAGTAAAATCACAATTATTGTGGAGTGAGTTTTTTTATATTTACTTTATATTCAATTATATCAGAATAATGATTTTATTGATTTATTTTATTTATTTGCAATATTATATGATTATTAAAATTTTGTCTTGTAAACTATAGATGCTGATATGCAACATCATTGATTATAATATAAAACATTTCAGAGTTAAATAAACCCGCAGTCTATACAATATGAATCTATCTTAGTAATCAATTATATGAACATAGGTCATTATTAGTCATGGCTATAGAATATCTTAATAATGTATACAAGGGTTCTGCAAATGCTAGACATAGTTCTATTAAAATATAGACAATATTTTATAGTATCATGCCTAGCATTTGCAAAACTTAACAATATATACACAAATTTAAAAAATTTGCTTGAAACTAAAGCTTTGCTAAGAAAGGTTTTTATTAATTTACTGAAGACAATTTTATAAATAAATTCTTAATTATATGTATTTATTAAATTGTTATGATTTTTGTGTTTTTTTTTGTATTACATCCTGTTATCGAATTTGATCAGCTAGCAAAATTTTACAAAATCTGGTAAATTCGATTAGTCAAATATATAGTACTGTATTTTACTATATAAGATACCTAGGTATATTATATTACTAATGGCTTATATCTCTGGCATTTGCTTGTAAGAAAAAAAATTTTTATTATTAAATCAGATACTGATTTGTATCTGGTATCTTAACAAGATTGATTGTTTAAATTTGTAGATTATTCTAATATAGTTGCACGATTGATAAATAATTTTTTTTATATATTTTATAATATTTCTTTTAAAAGCTTAGGTATCTTAATTTTTATGAAACAAGAGTAAATTTAACAAATGAATTAATATTTTTGCTTTGCTTTATAACATATTCTTTGAACCCCATGAATCTCACAATATTTTTTTTTGTAATCTGATTGGCCGATTTGCTAAAACTCGAGATATTAGTTGACAATCACATGTATTGTATAGGAATCATCTATGAATTTGAACTGTTGAGTATCTTATATAATAGTTTAACGAACAATCTTAAATATACTTATACAAATACAAAGAAGTAAACATCTGGGTATCAGTCAAAGAAGCATCTTACACTATAAAATACAATATATTTATATGATGTAGATATTTAATTTACATACATTATTATATATATTTGTTATGCATATATATGTCATGTAATCTCTGAGAATATGGAAATATCAAATAGAAGGCAGTATTGTACATTTTGACTATCTAAAGGCTTTTTTGGTACTGTCTAATATTTAAGTATCCAAGTGTCCACAAGTGTCCAAAGCATGTTTAAGCTTTAATAATTAATAAATTTGTTTAAAAAATATATGATTATATATTTTTTTATATGCTGAACATATTTTACTTAGTAATTAAAATAGGTTATCTTAATAAAATTTTGAGTAATTTTAATTTATTTAATTGTCTAAAATTGTCCAAAATATCCAAACTTACTGTCCACAACTATCCTATGACAATACTGATAGAGGGTGCGAAAATATCAATTTCCTAAAAATAAAATAAAAAATAAAATAAACTAAATTTAAAACTAAAGATTAAAATAATTATTTTAAATAACTAAAAAACAAGAATCAAATATTTTTTAACTAAGAAAAAAAGTAAAATTTAAATATCTTTTTTAGTATTTTATAAATTTTTAGTAATTATTTAAAAAGAAAATTTTTTAATTTATACCAGGTGTATATACATACATACTAATTTATTAATTTATGAATTTGTGTAATATATAAATTATAAACAAAAATTAGTATAGTTTAAGGTTAGGGTAAAAGTAACTTTAGGGTTAAAGAAGGTTATAGTATATACTAAAATTTTGCAAGAAATATTTTTTGTTAGAACCCCAAAGCTATTATATAATCAGAATTTTGAGATATCAAATATATGTGTGTATATATACCTGGTATACAAATAGCAATCATCATTTAAAAAATATTATTAAAAAAATTTTTTTTATTAAAAATAGATATTTAATATAACAGAATCCTAAAAAACTCCAATACAACTTAAATCTAAATTTATATAATATTACTATATATTTTTAAAAATAAACTACCCTTTTTGAATAATTTTAAATATAAAAATTAGTACTGTCAACTATGGATATAACAAAAATCTGGGCTAACAAAAAAATTTCGTTATATAGCATATTCGTTATATCTATATAACA